TCCCCTAAGCTATTTTAGTACTGCAGTACAAATGATTGTATTATTGCAAGGTAATAGTATTTTTAGCATATTTTAAATTTAAAACTTATACAGATGCTTATGCCAAACTGCATGAGGAAATGTCATGAGAATCATAAACCTGTGAAAATAATTATTTCTCAAGGAATAAATGTTTACTGGTACAATGATATGTATTCAAAACTTTTACTAACGCTTAGGTAATTATTTACAACTATATTACACAAGAAACTATTAGCGCCTTTTCTTTATTTTCTAATTAATGTAAAAAGTACAGATGAAAGTTTTTTTCTATTTTATTTTTGAACGATCAAAAAATAATGATTTTGTTTGAGTACAATTTGCTTCAAAATAATAAATCTCTATTAAGCTGGTGGTTGATTTACGATGTCAACTTTTTCCTTAGTAATTGGGCGTTATGAACAATTAATTTTTTTGTGTTTAGTCGAGACTGAAATAATATTTGAAAGCTCAAATTTACTAGTCGAATTTGCATTTCCAGCTTTATAAAAAATTAAAGAAAAAAAATGAAATTGATTAAAGCAAGTTGATCACATTCTAAAAATTTGCTTGTTTTAAATTAAATAAAAAAAGTAACGATGATATTTCGAACATTGAAATGCTCAAACTAAAAATTATTATTTTTATTTTGTTTTATTTTAAAAAAAATTTTGTAAATAATTCAGCACATTTTTAAAATTCCGTGGTTTATAGAAAAAAACACATTCTAATTTGTTAAGTAATTAAAAGAAGTATAAGAAATAAAACCTCTTTCATTGAGATTAAGCGATAACAAGCTCATTTACATTTTGAACTTCATATATCAGAATGTTCTAGACTGATGATAACGAGGGGGTTAATGATAAAGAAATGATTATCCATTAAAAAAGTGCAACGATAATAAAATTACTGCAGAATTTTTATCAATATTTATTTCTTTATCATGATTATTATTTCTTGAATTTGTATAACGAACTTGTGGTGCTATTCATAAAATTTTTAATTTCTTTGCAACACTAATTTTTTATGAAAAAATGTTTTATATCTTTTATGTAAAATCTTTAATGTTTTCTTGTAGTAATGATTGATTTTAGGCACATTCCATTTGCAAAGTCCTAACTTAATAGTCAATGACTTTTTTCACCGGAAATAACAAATTGGTTCTCCTGCTCTTCGAAATGATTCGTTGATTTCTCCGATATATATTTTCTAAAACAAGACATTTTTATTTGTTATGTACATATAACTCTTTAAGTACATATTGTTACCTGTTTCACACCACCCTGTATTTAAAATTACTGGGTTTTCTCATCGGTTTCTTGTTAAACAAGAAAATTGTTTTAAGAGTAACATAAATTTTTTTTAATCAAACGAAAATTCAAAATACTTTATTTAATTACAAATGTTGCCGATCGGCCTGTGTAGGGGGCAGGGAACTGTCCTTGCATCAGAAAGGTTCTGGGTTCGAATCCCGGGCAAGGCATGGATGTTTATTTCTCTCTGTGTGTTCTATGTCCTTTCTCCTTTGTGTGCGTGAATGTGACCCGCCCTATAAACGTGTTTGTGGTTGGGTGAATGGTGTGACAGAAGTCGAATTTCTGGCCATGGATGGCGCCACTGAAAAACAAGAACAATCGCACCCCCTCTACCTAAAACAGGCACATGACAAAAAAAAATTACAAATTTTTAGACGAAGAATTTGAATTTGATATTAATTTTTAGACCACGTGGATGATTATTGGGTTATACCCTACTCCGAAGAAAAAAAATACTTAATGCAGCTTAAAGCCTATTCGTTTTGCATTATTGCATCATTATTGATCAAAGGACCTTTAGTTTTATTACAACAGGTGTGCTATTTATCCGGCGTATAAAATGATGGGAGTAAGAATATTTCATTTCTTTTCATTCAGAAGTAATGAACTATTAATAACTATCTCTATTTATCAATAGTTGTGACAATTTCACTCATAAGTATCTATGTTAAAAGTCAGAAAAAAGTGGTAATCAAGGATAGTTTACTCCTTTTGAATAGAAAGAAATAAAATAATTTTTCCACCGGTATATATTATCCCCAGTATATAATACGGTATTCAAATACTTCGAATTTGCTGTAAAATAATGATTGTTCGTCATTAAGCTACTCGAAATTGACATAGTTGTAACAAATATTCAAAATGCGGTAAACGGAGAAAAAATTGTTGCAATCATAATAGACTGGGGAAAACGAAAAAGCACGTATATATTTCGTTCAGGAGATCACCGGTTTAAAACTGGTTTTTGTGAAATTTTTGTTTTTATTATTTTTAATATTCTCGATCATATAATTTTTTTGTATTATTTATAACTATTTGTTTCAAAAACATTTATAAAAGCACAACGAACCAACCAAGGTAAAACAAAAATAAAAATACTATTTTCACAAATATAAATGCAAAATTACACAACTTAAAACAAAAGAAAGAATACTATTTTCACATATGTAAATACGAAAATACACAACTTAAAACAAAAGAAAGAATACTATTTTCACAAATGTATATGTAAGAGCTAAAAAACAACTGTTAGCAAACGTACAGGAATAATATATGTTGCTTTTATTACGAATTATATCATAACAGATTATATAAAAGTTAAAAATGAAACGTCTGCGGCATTAGACCTGATAAAAGATGTCCTAATTATATTGCTTTTTTTCTTTTTTTTTTCTTTCCTCCAAGCCATGAGCATGTACCTAGGTTATGAAAACCCTTAACCATATGGCCCAGGACTTGGCCACTGGTTAATTATATTGCTGCTAACCCGGAAGTATGTAAACTACCTTTACATGTACAGTTTATAAAGAGAGATTCTGAGCGCGCTGATTGGATTTCTCGGCAAAGCCTTCTATTACGTCTTTTTGTAGCTCCTCCCCAAAATCATTTCTCCGTAATTTGATCACAAAATGTAAATCAATCTTAAATCTGTTCTAGTATTTTTCTTATACCAATTATAAGAGAAAAGAAACAGCGTCTTTTAATAGTAACACATTTATTGAAATCAAGTTTATTCTTAAATTTTTCTTTATTTGTTTAAAATATTTTCTTCTTTTTACGTTTCAATATAATATTTTTTAATATAAATGTTGCGGATTTTATGTAAAGGCAAGTTAAGCAATAATATTTTGGTAAAACATAGAATTAGTGCAATAATAATTATTAAACATAAATTGTGAGCATATATTTTAAAAGTATTTTTTAGCTATATATTAAATATAAGAATTGATTAGTATTCAAATTGGTAATTAATTAGTATTATGAATCTCCTTATGCTCTTAGAAATTAAAATTTATAACTTAAATTCATCAAGTATGATAGCAGAATAAAACAAATAAAAACTATGCAGGTTGAGTTTAAATTTATTATATGAGATTTTAAAATGTATATAAATATTATTGTAAAATTATTTTTGATTATTTGAAGAAGATTTTATATATTAGGGGAAAATACTCCAAAATGTTGTAATTCAGAAAAAAAATTATAGAACATTCGTAATTAATAAGAATTATTATATAGCGAGTTGCATGCAACAAGTTTACAAGTTTTACAAGGAAATAAGAGGCAGTTAATAAAATAAAGAAGGCAGTTTCTAAGGTGAAAAAACTGACATTTCAAGTTTGAAAAAGAAATGCTGTTGTACAGAAATTGATCTATGCTTAAATTAACAAGCACAGCAGAATTGAATAGCCATACGTCACAGAAGGCGTTGCCGAGAAGTCCAATAAGCGCTTTCAAAATCTTTCTCTACAAATTATCTATGTAAAGGTAGCCTACATACAAACCGGAAGTTTAAGCTCTATACAACAATCACGCAATGTTCTTAGACTATTATAGTTGCAATAGGGCTTAAAAAATAGAAACGAAAGCAAATATTTACAAGTTTTATTCAACAAATTTTGTATAAAAACATACTAGCCAAAATTTGACATTTGAAACTTCATGGAATTTTTTTTTAAATGCTAGGGAACTAAAGCAGAAAACTTTTAAAGAAATAGAATTTTTTGCTTTTTTATAAAGGTATGAGTATCACCAGGATTTGATTTCTTATGTACCCATTTAAAATTATAAGTGGTGGATAAAATTCGTTTACCTCTGATTTATAAAATTAATGCATTCTTTGCCTTTGCTACTACTGAGAAATGTTTTTTTTCTAAAACTACGGAAATACCGTAGTAGTCGGTGAGTACGTAAAAAAGGAAGGTTAGTTAGCAAAATTCTAAATCATTCGTATGGTTCATAACGAAAAAAATTCATTATAGTACAGTGGTTCCTATTTTAGGCAGATAGTACTGTTTTGAACGAGTCACAGGATAACTTGAGTTCATCAGCGAAACAATTTGGGACTCGGTTGAGTTAATCTGAGTTCATCAGCGTCATGTAGCCGAAAACGTATTAGTGTGCTAAACATATCACATTTCGTATACATATAACCATAATACATTTTATATGCTTATAACCATAATACATTTTATATGCTTATAACCATAATTCATTTCTTATACTTATAACTATAATGCATTTCGTATGCACATAACTATAACACATTTCATATGCATATAACCTTAATACATTTTATATGCTTAAAATCATAATACATTTTTTATACTTATAACTATAATGCATTTCGTATGCACATAACCATAATACATTTCGTATGCATATAACCATTCCACATTTTGTATACGTATAACCATAATTCATTTTGTAAGCTTACAACCATAATACATTTCTTATATTTATAACTATAATATTCGTATGCATATAACCATAACACATTTCGTATACATATAAATGTAGTATAACTTGAAGAGAGAAATTTGTATGCTTTACTGAATGTGTCAAAAATTTGTGATTTTCAATTTTATTTTAAATAAAAATAATCTAAAATTATTAATGTCAAAAATTGCCTTTTTGAATCGTTTTTTATTTTTTGCGTTCGTTTAGGTAACTGCACCAGAATCTAAACCCCCTGAAGAAAAGATGGGTGAAAAAAATGAAAAAATACCATTGTAAGTAAAATTTTTTATCAAAGTCTGAAAAATTTATTTTGATATAAATAAAAAAATTCACAGCTCATCAATTATGAGACCAACGGCGTGATGATGATAATTGGACACTGTTAGCTTTACAGAGATGCAAACTGCTCCAGATTTGACAAACTAGTATTAATTAAAAAAAAATGATCGAAAATTACAAACTAAAATTTCCAAATTTTCGTTTAATTTTTCCAAAGCTTTAAAAGGCTCAACATGGCCTATCTGTATCACAATGTCGCCTATGAATTATTTCGAAGCAGTAGTGAGTAAAAATTATATAAATCGAATTTATTTAACCAAGAATCATACATTAAAAGACTACCACAGTTCGGAGCAAGTTGGAATCGCTGGCTTTGCGACCCAACCATCTTTACTCCATGCACAAACTAATACATATTATCCATACTTATTATATTGTTTTTTTAGATATAAACAGGGATGCCAACTATAGTTCGTTCACCAGGAGTTGGCACTTGGCTCCGCCTTCATCACGTGGTATCGGATGATACTATTTCGCTATTTTGGGGGGAAGGATGTGAACAAGGCTGCTATTTGGCGATAGTATGACAAAAATATTTATTTCGCAATCTTCATGTGCATATTTTGAACATGTGCATTTTATTTCATAAACTTGCTGATATTTCTCTCTTTTTATGGAATAGTTTGTTCTTTTTGAGATATTTTGCTGAGAAAAAGTTTTTATATATAAATTAGCTAGAATAACGAAAATGGTATAATAGCTGATGAGAAAGCGAAGTAAGTGACTGAAAAATAATTCTCTGTTTGTGTTTGGCTTGGTCATCACCTTATACATCAGAAAGCCTCCACACGGTTTCTTATAAGCAGTCTGCACAGACAATTTAAAAAGTGAACAGTTTGAGCGCATGAAACCAAATTTTATTTTAAAAGTGACTGAGAGGAATTTGACATATATATTTGAGAATTGCATCTGTAGTGGTAGACAAGTAAATAAGACAAACTAATCATATTCAAAAATTAAACAAATTTTTAGACATATATTTGGGACCACTTTCGCATTTTTACTAGATTTTCTATTAAAGAGCTCTTTCGTAAACTGGTTTGCCTTCATAGTGGTCTGATCGGACTACCTATAAAAAACCGTGTGGAAGCTTTGCGCGCATTAGAGGTTATCTCGATTTCAAGCGGGGATTCTCTTACTCCCCCGCGCTGAAATGAACTCTGCGTCCGAGGAGGTGGAGCCAAGTGCAAACTCCTGGTGAACGAACTATACTTCGCTTTTTTCAAAATATTTTATAGAGTGGTAGCCAATTAAAAACTGAAGCTTTCCAATTTTCTGATAATTTTTTTAACATTTCAAAAGTCCCAATACGAGTGGGCCTTTGAATCAATTATATGAAGTGGCGTGGAAAATAACTTTAAACGAAATTGACAGAATAAAGAAGTATACATTAAAATTTAAACTTAGCTACCACGAGAAGAAATTCCCAACTATTGTCGAAAGATTTGCAATCCAGTATAAAAGGTTGATTTTTGTTGAATATTTAAAGTGATAGTATATTGTATATTTTACCATTGTATTTATAATTACATAAATTTGTTTTTAATAATAATATTGACCATCACTATATATACATAAATAATTTAAGGAGCCATATAAAATCCTGTAGTCATTCGGTAGATTCCTTAAACATATATAATCTGTAAGTAAATTGAATTTAGTATACAACTTTAAATATTGTAGGAAGCTATTGCTTACGAACTGGTATTGGTTCCGAGTAAAACCCTTGTACACTACGGTATTACATCAGTAATATCGTGATTATACATACACGATAATGCTTACTTATTTTCTTAAGTTAAATTTTTCTGATACTAAAACTAACTACGCGCATTTCCTCTTTAATTTCCCTGCACTCTAACGGTATATCAAACTAATTTTTTTCGCGGTATTTAAGCAGATAATACAGTTGTTTTATTTAAAATAATATCCTGATATTATAATTTATACACATGTCAAAGTCATTGCGTCAAAATAATTTGTGGTTTTTATACTAAAAGTTTAGTTTGTAATACTTCTTAACTAGAATACTTGTAAATTGATATCAATAATATATTGTATTATATAAAAAAAATGGTACATTTTATAATTTAATTTTTTAAATTGAAAATGCCATTTAAAACTGTTTCATTGTTACAAGCTTATTTCGATTAAAATTTCGTCCGGTATTTAAGCAGATAATACAGTTGCTTTATTTAAAATAATATCGTGATATTATAGTTAATACACATGTCACAGTCTTTTCGTCAAAATAATAATTTATGGTTTTGATACTTAACCCCTTGGGGACGGTTGATTCAGAAAAGCATTCGTACAAAATCAGAATCAAGTTGTAATTAAATAAAAAACGGTAACTTAAATGTAGTCGTTACTAATTTGACAGACTTACTTTGCTTTTACACTAATTATTGTTAGTTTAATCATATATATAATCAATGTTAATTCAAAGTATAACTAAATAGTTTTATTTTGAACAAAGTATTGGTGAATTAAATAAATCAAACAATTATAACTCCGCCCACAAATAAACTGCTAAAGAAATACTTTGATTGCCAGTTTTATATTTTTACCCTGATTGATACGGTTTTATGCTGTCACGTATTTGTGACAGTCGGCGCGAAAGGGTTAAAGTTTTGTCTGTAATACTCCGCAACTACAGTCAAGCCTGAAAGCGAGACGGAAAAGAGAAAATACTGGTAGGAGAACTATTTTAATGTTTGATAATATTCGGGAGGAGTTAATCTATTCTCAAGAATAAACAATTCAGTGTAATTAAAATTTTCTCGGCGAAGAAGCAATTCGATATAAAAATTGTATTCGTTAAGAACAATTGGTAGTAATAGATTTTTATTATTCCCGAAAAAAAAAATTAAAAATTCAAATTTATTTGATACCAGTTTTTACTCTTTTCCGTCTTGATATATATGAGTTTTCAGCCCTGACTTCAGTACTCGTAAATTGACATTGATAATATATTTGTATTATATAAAAAAAAATGCTAAATTTTATAATTTAATTTTATAAATTGAAAACGCTATTTAAAATTGTTCCATTGTTACAACCTTATTTCGTTTAAAATTTCTCATAAATTATGGGTTTCTCCATAGAACAATTAGTGACCACCATGGAGGGACCTATGAATCTTTAGTATCAAGAGATAATTCAATCATTTATTGTTGCCACGGCAATGCAGCAGATGAATGTTGCCAAAATGGAATATCGAAATCAACAGAAAAAATACCAAGAAAAGAAAGCATATTAGTAAGTAATGAGAGTTATATTGATAAGTCTCTCTCTGTCACTCTTCATTTTTGTTATTCAAATAATATAACCATTTGCAGGTAGATTCTCATTGCCACGAAGATAAAGAATTGGGCATTGATAAGATTGCGAGACGAAAACTAGTATTCGCCAGTATTCTTTGCTTATTCTTTATGATTGGTGAAGCTGTAGGTAGGTGGTACAGTTTATTATACATGACATTCGCCGGATAATAAGCTTAAAATCTGGCATTCTATGGAATATCTAGGCATTTTATAGAATGTCGAAAGCTATCCGACAAAGTATTAAATGATTAAAAATTATTATATTCATTAAGCATTTTATAGAATGCCAAACGGGCGAATTGCATCATCATTAAAGTATTTACAGTACTGATGGATCCTATAATTCTATAGAATGTTGGCGTTTCATACTATGCTAGCAACATACGATTATTAGTATTTTGATTATTAGGATAACTTTATGATTGAAATTATTGTATTAATAACTAATGATAACTTTGATTGGTACAGTAAGTTAACGATTGGCGAAACTGTTGGTATGTGGTATGTTACAATATAAATGACAGGTGCATAAAAATAAGCGAAAAATTCGACATTTTATGGAATACCCAGACATCCTACAGAATACCTAAAACTTGCCGATTGAGTATAAAACGTTTAAAAATTTTTACATTGATTAAGCTTTTAACGGAATAGCTGATGTTTGTACTTTGATGATGACATACTTTACTCCTTTTGCATGGTTTTTGATCGTTATATACTTTTTAGATTATCGCAATATTTCATTAAGGCCAGGATAGTCTGGCTGCTAGGGCGTTGGACCCATGTCCAAGAAGTCGTGAGTTCTATCTCCACTGACCAAAGACTCCCCGTGTAGTTAATGAGGGCTGGTGCGTGTAATACATGCCGGGTCTTAAAGTCCTCCATGTTACCATGATTCATGTTACCTCTGTGGGTACTAAATTGGAGATTGACCGTTCTCTGATTTAGGTCTAAATTACAATCTGTGGATGAATAAATGGATGTATGATTGGGTCCGTTCTGTAAATGAACTGTGATGTGTGTGTGTAGCTGAGGTCACTTTTTCGGTCATAGGTGGTGCCCCTTGAAGTCAAGAAAAGCACCCTTTGCCTTAAATTCTCTTGGTTTTACCAAGAAGGCTTGCTGTTTGGCAAGTGGCATTAGAACCAACAGTGCCATATTTCATAAATGCTTAAAAGTAATGTTTGTATTTCCGAAGAATGAACGTCTCTTATATAATAACCTTATTATGATATTATTTCTTACTTGCTGGAGATAATTTTTCTTAATGGTAACGGAGGTGATAATACAGAGATTTTGTATAGATTTTTTCTTACGTTAACCGTGGAGCTAACTTCATTTTCTGTCACTGAATAACACTGCTATTTGTGAAAAAAATGTTTGTGCCATTGTGAAGCTGAAATAACGTTAGAGGGAACCGTAGCGCTTTGCAAAAACTGTGTCTGATGAAATATATATATATACATACCTGCCAACTCTTAACCCTTTCGAGGATGATTTACCTCAGTGGTAGTTAATTGGAATTTAAATTACAAATTTAGGCAGAAACATATGCTGTGTTTTGAAAAAGCTTATGTGGACTAACAAGAGAGAGAGAGAGAGAAATTAACCATCTCGGTGCGCTGCCGCGTAGCGGCATTAACCGATTCGTCGCAATTTGAAATCGATAATGGCGGGTAAAGAGCAGGAAATGTTGGTGGAATTCGGAGGGGGCGGTGCCTTGCACCGGGTAAAGAATCGTGGTCGCTAATTGGTCGCTGTCCTCAGCGAATCATGTGTTGAGAAAATATAAGAAAATTGCAATGAAAATGAGTGAGATTTACGTAAAAGGCATGAGATAAAATAACAATTAAGTAAATTAATATGTACATAACGATCGATATTTACATTACGATAAAAATAAACAAGATCTGAGATAAGTAAATAATGATACACGATAAAATACACAATTGAGAATAAAATAAAATTTGGTTAATAGAACTATGTACAAATTTACATATTAATATATATGCTTACTGTTTTTAAAAATAGTGGTGGTCAAAAAGATTATAAATTAAGTTTATAAATGCAAGGAATATATAAAAAGCATGCATTTTACTACCACTTTAAAT